AAGACAATTGCAGACTATCTTTTCCACCTAGTTAATTATATCTAGGTGCTGATCCTTCTGAACATCTAGCATGTCTCAGCTAGCCTTCTCCATTCTTTAACTTCTTTGCATGCAAATTACTAAAGCAGCACTTACAAAACATATAAAAATAAAATTGGTTCGGATTCCAGGGAAAATATTTCCCAGTCTTTCTCACACCGTGTACAAAAGTGTGTTTGTTGTAGTACATGCATACCTTAGTATACGTGTAGGATATGCATACTCTTCCACTAACCACTTCTGTACCGAGGTACTTCTTCTAGCCCAGCTGAACCCTCTGTATTTATTACTGTAATGCAATCAGGGTACATATACAGTAATATGCTGTTCTTTTAGGTTATTTTATCTTTTACTTTCCATGTGTGCAAAAAGAGATAAAATACCCTATGTTTGGCAGCATGGTGGACTGTTGATCGGAAAAATGTACAAGGGGACACATTGGACAGCCATAGACCAAGGGCGATGTGTGTGAAAAAGTTTAACTGTCCAACGTGCTGCCAGCCTAGGGTATTTAAATCTTTACTGCAGCACATAGCAAGTAAAAAGACCTAAAAGAGGAGCATATTTTTTACTGTACTGTATATGCAGCCTGAGTGCATTACAGGTATTCCTCACTTAACGTCCGAGTTCCATCATTCCGCAACTGATGGGATGACAGTGGAGTTCCAATGGCGAGGGATTAAAGCTCTAGCGGCAATGATAAAGAATCTAAGCAAGGATTTCTTCACCTTCGAGATAGAACCCGGAAAAACCGAGAGCAGAGCCATCTCCGGCGTAATGTGTAGATCAATGGAAGTTGCCCCAAAAGGGCAGAAGCAGAGGGCAACTCCACCACACATGAGCTAGCGTGCCAGGTCCAGCCTGGCATCTCCAACAGCTGTCGGGGGACGTGAAGGAGGTCTGGTGCATATTGCAACCGCAGGTAGGTTCAGCGACTGTAGGAACTTTGCCGGGTCGGTCGGGGATCTCAGGACATACGACCTTCCGTGCCACCAAGTGGAAGGGGTAACCCCACCGGTATGGAATGGCTTGTTGTTGGAGCAATTGAGTGAGGGGCTTGAGCGCCCTGCGCCTGGCCAGGGTGTTCCGGGAGAGGTCAGGGAACAATAATATTTGTGCACCATCAAAGTCTATGGGGCCTCTATCCCGGGCCTTAGCTAGAATGGCTTCCCTTTGTTGGAAGAAATGCACCCTGCATAGGACGTCCCTAGGTAGTTGTTGGGCGGGAGTGCGGAAGCCGGGGACCCTATGAACCCTGTCCAGCTCGATGGGGCGAGTGGGCGGGTTACCCAGGAGTAGGTTAAAAATGCCCAAGACCGTGGCTTTGAGGTCTGCTAGGCCCGTTGCCTCAGGGATACCCCGCAATCTAATATTATTGCGTCTGTGACGGTCCTCTTGGTCGTCGATGCGTAAAGAGAGATGAAGCAGGGCGTCATGGTGTCTGCCTACCTCTTCTTGTAGTTGCCGGACTGATGAGGACACCGTCGCAGTCGTGGATTCCACCTCTTCTAGCCTGCGGCCAAAGCCCTCCTTGAGCGCCGCCATATCTTGGCGATGTGAGGCCGGCGGGGTGTTCCGGGCTTTTGCCTTGGACCCCTTCTTGTTGGTTCTACCCATGGATGTAGAGGTTAGGTACGGCGAGTGTTCCTAGGGCTCGTTCCTGGGGATGTAGCCGGAGCTCTTACTTCATGCGACCGTCCGCGGCCATGAGCAAGCCACGCCCCCCATAAATACAGAAAGTTGACGTGTGCTGTAACTAGAGATGCACCGAAATGTCGTCCGAAAATTGCACTTTTGGCAAAATGCCGAAAGTGCCACGACGGCCGGTAATTAAGTGTATCTCTAGCTTCTCTTCTCCCCACTGGGCTCTGGCGGTGATTGTTGCAGGAGGCCGAGCTCTCCTCCCGGCTCTGCCTCCTGTGTCAGAATGGGGAGCGGGGCGGTAATAGCTGTGATCTGTCGGTGGAGGAGGAGAGCTCTGGATCCTGTGACGGATCACAGTGCTCTCCTCCACTCTCCATCCTGACATCAGAGCCGGGAGGTGTGGCAGTAGAGCTCCGCCTCCTGTGTCAGGAGGAGAGCAGTTAGTGGAGGACCGGACCACAGGCACAATATGCCCTGCCATCCCGTGCGGGCGATCGCATTGCTGCCGGAGGGCGTGGCTACGGTGCCATTCACTTCAATGGCACACACGCCAGAATCAGGGCGGAACGGGCTCTTAGACTGTGACAGTTTTAGGCTTTTGCACTTGAAAACATGCTGCAGATCCCATCAACACAAAAGCATTTTGCTTGCCCTTAAGATACATTTAAGCCCTCATTCACACCTATACTTTAGGTGCAATTAGGGATTCCTGCGTCAGGAACTTGCGATTTTCCTGCAGTAGGAATCCCTAATTGCACCTAAAGTATAGGTGTGAATGAGGGCTTAAATGTATCTTAAGGGCAAGCAAAATGCTTTTGTGTTGATGGGATCTGCAGCATGTTTTCAAGTGTGTGACCCATTTAAGTTAATGGTCAGGTGGCAGAAAGCTGACACCGCATATAATCTTATGTGATACGATTACATACGATTACATGCGGTTAAGAATCCAACACTATCCTTGGACACACGATCGATGCATCCAGGGATAGTGATTGATTCCTAATCGCAAGTTCCTGCCGCAGGAATTCCAAATCACAGTAGAAGTTCAATGTTATAATCGGGAGACACTTGTTGATATAAAGTACTGTAGTAGGTGCATACACCATTCACATTAACTAGTTTGGACTGAATACACGTGTTCACTGTCCTTTTGATATTGTTAGCATAAGATGCATTTATATTACATATTTGTACAGGGCAACTGTGATGCAATGTATAATTTTATCAAGCCAGTTTTCAACTATGAAAGCATTTTTTTTTATGGAACCTGCCCTTTGGCTGCAAAATTATGTATCTGGTTTTAATGAATACAGCTAACCATAGAAATATCATAATATGTTGTACTAAATCGATTTTTCTTTTGCTGTTATGCATATATGCAGTTACAATGCTTTATTAAATGATTATTCCTTGCTGTTTTTTTATTTTATTCTCAAAGGAAAGCTTTTATTATTTATTTCTGGCCATCCTTCTTTCTGAATCCCTTCTGTAAATGCTAACTGCCTGGATGTCATGTTGATGGACGTCACTGGCTTCAATAGTTTGAGACAATGACCTGCAAAACACATGCAGATCAGGAGTTCTGACTTGACCTGTAACCTGCCATTGCTGATCTCCTAGGAATAGTTACCTTACTTTCACAGACATACAGTAGAAGTATGCAGATTGAAGTGTGAAAAGGTTCTGACCTAAAGCGCATTCCTGAGATCTTTCCAAACCAAAGTTGGTGTGGCTGAGATTAGGGCTTTGCAAAGGGGCTTATAGCGGAATATAGCACATATTTATAATAAAATACACACATTTGTTTTAGTGCACACTAACAATATGATTCCCAATATTTTGGTAAAATATAAAAGATGAGCTAGTGTCCCAAAATTGTGTGCATGTGCAAAGTGGCGAAAAACTACAGTAACCAACATCGGCTATAGTTTAAAAGCCTTTGCAGGCCATCAGTTTAGAGTCAACTTTAGACTTATTGCTTTCACTTTGGTGTGTATAGTAATTTCTTATAATGTACAATCATTTCATATGTGTGCAGACATTTGTTTATATGTGTGGGGGCTTTTTAAGTTTTTTAGGATGTTTTTAATTCAGTTCATTGGACATTAATTTTTTTTAAACTTTTTTTTCTTCACTTTATCGCTATCGCAAGGCACTCAGTAACTCGATTAGGTTCTTCCCTAGCCAGAGCAGCTGATGTTTGACAGCTCTGAATTCTGAACTGCTCAGAGCTGGGTGCTTCTGGCTTCCCACCTCACAGGGGAGATCAGTGTAGAGATGCTCCAGATATTCTGGCAGCACCCCAGATTGAGGAAATTGTGAAAGTATTTTAAAATTGTCTCTCAGGAATTCACTGATCACCGAGTACCTAGGGAGCCCTCATTTTTGTCTACTACCCAATAATATCCCACAATAGATGAACAAGTAGTAGGTACTCCTAGATCATATAAATCCCGCCTCTTTTTGGGAAAACCAACTACTCACCACTGGATCCTTTAGATCAGGGGTAGCCAAACTCCGGCCCTCCAGCTGTGGTGGAACTACAAATCCCATGAGGTATTGCAAGATTCTCACAGCCACAGACATGACTCCCAGAGAGAGATGCATCATGGGATTTGTAGTTTCACCACAGCTGGAGACCCCTGCTTTAGATCAATGACATTAAGCATGGGGAAGACTAGCATTAAAATGCTGCATTTTTTGCAAAGAGTTTAAAAGGTCAATTCTCAGCGGAATATGAAAACTTTGTCTGCCCTGAATTATCCAAGTTGAGTATTTAATTAAAATGTAGGTAGCATATTTTTGTATTTAGTAGCCACTTCTTCCAAAGCTGAACCAGATGATGCTGGAAGTGTTAGTGAAAGGAGGCAGAGCTGTTCTGCCATTGTGAGTGCATTGATAGACAGTAAGGAGGCTGATTTATTAATTAATCTTTGCTAAAAGAAAAAAAAGTGTGATTCATTTCCTGATTGCGTTAAATACCCATTCATGTGCTTTTAAAAATTTTTGAAAATTGAAGTGAATATTTTTTGCATGAATATTCTCAACTTTTTTTGGAACAGCCTCACTCAGAGCTGACCTAGTAAGCACATGATTGAGAAACCACTCTGATTGGTACCTGATTGTTATTTGGGACCCCTGCTGTATCTCTCAGGTGTTGGTTCTCAAAGGGGTGAAAGTGAATGTATTCTAGGTACAGGACATTGTTCCATGCTACTCTAATATACAGATTCTGTAAATGTAATTTTAATACAAAATGTATGTGTAACTTTATTCATGACGTACATCATGTTATCTAATATTCTGCTCCTTTTTATAGACATTTCTCCAGGTTTTGTAGGAAGATTTATGGCAAATAATGTCAACCTCTAACAACATTGCGCAAGCTCGGAAGCTTGTGGAGCAGCTCCGTATCGAGGCTGGTTTTGAGAGAATCAAGGTACTTCATTCCCCAGCTAAAATTTTCCTTTTAGGTCTTCATTTGTTCCTTCCAAGAGGGTTTTTTTTTCCTTCATCAGAAGAATGCATTATTGTACTGTGGAAAATATTAGTAGTGTCCTAAAAAATGTTGCTACTGCTAATGACTAGCTCTACCTTGCAGCTATCTGTGTTTCTGGGAGTAGATGGTTGATGATGTACCCTTGACTGTCTGATTCCAGCAACACCCCCTTTGCACAGAAGCATCCTCCATCCATGCTATTTAGTGTCTATAAAGAAGTCTGTTAGATTTCTTTCCTACTACTGCATCTACAACACAGGGTTCCCTTGAGCCATGCATTACCTGTGTTTTATTTATAGTTGAATCAAGTTTATTGAAGTATAGAAGTAAAACAAACATTATATCAAACATAAAAAATAAGATGAGCAAGAAAATGCAATCCGGTAATTAACAAAAGTAGAGGATCAACTGGTTGTTACATAGAGTAAAGAAGTGCAATATGTGTCGGGACCTTCAACAGGTAATAGAACACAGACACAAAGAAACCAATCTTGCATGTAATTAAGTATGTGAAGCACGTCCTAATCAAAACGTACATCAATCCTCTCATAAAAAAAGGGATATAAATAAGATATGAAAGAAAGACAAAAGAAGGGGAAACTCCTTGGGTCAATTCTTTCCCCCTTCTTTTGTCTTTCTTTTATACTCTTATTTATATCCCTTTTTTTATGAGAGGATATATGTACGTTTTGATTAGGACGTGCTTCACATACTTAATTGCATGCAAGATTGGTTTCTTTGTGTCAATAGAAAAACGACAAGAAAAATACCTGTGGATTATTTAACCCTTTCACTGCCAAGCCCTCTGGAACACTTTACACCTCAGCTGGCCGCACCATCTTTGCGCCCCCACCTCCCCATTTAAGATAAAACTATATTGAGTTAATAAACAAATATTTGTAAATTTTAAATTGCGCCTTTTTGCGAAATGGTAAAAAAATTAAGTAACGCAAAGCTGTAAAAAAAAAAGCGACTTGTGTTAAAAATGGTTTGTGCACTGTGTTGGTGTTTGGGATGTGATAAAATGATACAGGCGTATATTTAATTGCAACGCAGCGTATCTCAACGCACAGCAATATCTGTTGATCTGCCAGATATGCAATTGGTGCTTAATTTTCTTTGGAGGGATGACCGCATACAATTCTTTTGTGGACTTAGTGGTGTCAGCCCTGGCCATTGTTTATTGCTAAACTACTTAACCATGTCCACTGTCTTCACAGCATAGGCACTATTTGTCTTGTAACCCAAGATAAGAGCATGGAGGGCTAAATAGTCTCTTCCAGATAACACTAGCATGCTTTCAATGATGTATTTAACAGACCAAAGGGAAGCAAGTAAGGGAAGTTCATTGTTTGGGTTTACATACAGTGAAGAAAATCTGTACTGATAGAAATGCAGTGTTCTAGTTCTAGTCTGGCTATACCTGACTTCACTTCTTTACCCTGGACTGACCTGGAACAAGCAGGCAGTGAATTAAGTCAGGTGTTTAGTTCCAATACATACAGTATATAGCAAGGCAACTAGCATTTTCATGTTGAAAGAAATGTATGCACTGATTCAGGTGTTGATCTGTTATCAAATTTTTTAGGTATCTAAAGCAGCATCAGACCTCATGAGCTATTGTGAGCAGCAGGCTAAAAATGACCCGCTGCTGGTTGGATTGCCAACTTCAGAAAATCCATTCAAGGACAAAAAGCCATGCTCCATTTTATAATGCCCTCTTGCAAGTATGACCACTATTTCTTCATCCGCTCACGGAGTCTAAGGGAGAAGGCTGGACCAATTTCAAGCTTATGACGATCTTCAAAAAATTGAGAAAGAAAAAAGGCTATTATATGAAAGAAAATTATAGTTCAAATATACTAATACATTTGAACGACAGCGGTAGTAGTTTTACATTTTTGGTGTTTCGGGGAGAAATATCTGTGTCACTGAGTATTCAGCAAGGATTTCCTGAACATTACCTGACAGTTTTTTGTGCTGTACTTAGAATTATAGACTTAATGGACAGAGAGCTTAGACAGTATTTACTGACACTATTTTGTTTGTGTATGTGTATTGCTTCACAAACTCAGTGGAATTGGTTTATTTCGTTTTTGTGATGTATGCCCCATGATATTGATAGGACTGTATTTTGTGTTTATTTTATACTTCTGTCTGCTGTCAAGGATTCCTTTCTGAAGACAATACAATCTTGCAAGCATAATGCCATACTTGTTTTCAGCATGAGTTGCAAGAAGAAAAATGCCATAATGTTTTGTGTTTTTTTTGCTCCATTTGTTTCAGTACTAATGCATGCTCATGGAATTGGTGCCATCAGAATGTAAAAATACATAGACTTCATGATAATTGTGACCAAACTGATATTTTTACACATTTTCACATATTCGAAGTTATGTATGAACCCTTTTGAATGTACAACATAACCATCCTAAAATCCAGTCCTATTTAAAACAAACTGAAAGTTACAGTTCAAGATAACATTTTACAAGGGAACTAGAGCTTCACATTAGGAAATTAGTAGTAGTCCCTTGTAGGTCTGTGAAATGCACATGTGTATCGCGTATCTAGAAAAGATTGCACTTCTACAAACTATACTTTTAAACGTGTACATTATAAAGTAGGGATGCGCTTATACTGGTTTTTCGGTATCAATTACAAATACCGATATTTTTTCCGGTACTTGCTGATACCGAATATCGATACCGGAAGTCCCATTAAGGAAGCTGGGCGGTGTGTGATGACTAGCCAGGAAGTCCTCTCCATGCATGGAGCCAGCTTTCTGGCCAATCAGGAAGCCGAGGGACTTGCTGCCTGGCTTCCTGATTGGTTGTGAAGCTGGCTTCCTGAATGACCGGGAAGCCGGCTCCATGCTACCTCATCACTAGATGACAAGGAAGCATGGAGCTGGCTTCCCGGGCAATCAGGAAGCCAGGAGGTGGGTAATGACTAGCCGCCCGACTTCCTGATACTGGAAGTTCCGGTATCTGGAGCATTTGGACGAGTAACATTACTCGTCCAAATACTCGGTATTGGCACCAATACTAGTATCGATATCGGTGCATTCCTTCTATAAAGTACAGTCTTTTGAAAGCTACAGAGTGTGCACGCCAGGAATTAACAGTATTACTACACAAATAACCTATTTGAAGAGCTTCTTGGTATGTTCTTTTAGAAAATCAGTAGGCTAATAGTAAAGTCTTATGCAACAAATAGAATTAAATGGGGGATTCCTGTCATGTAATTGAGAAAGACAATGTTCATTTGAGTTTTTATTTTATAACAGTAACCATGGAAAAAATGCATCTTGGGGTGTTTTATGCATGTTTTTGT